CTATGAACTTTTAATTTGTTCAATGTAGTCCATGAACTTTAACATAATGTTCAATTTGGTCCCTAAACTTTTAATTTGTTCAATGTGATCCCTGAACTTTTAATATGTGTTCAATTTAGTCCCTGAACTATATGAAAATGTTCAATATAGTCCATGCACTTGAATTAATGGAAGGACTATATTGAACATTTTCAAATAGTTCAAGGACTAAATTGAACACATATTAAAAGTTCAGGGACCACATTAACCAAACCAAAAGTTCAGGGACCAAATTGAACATTAGATTAAAGTTTAAAGACTATATTGAACAAATTAAAAGTTCAGGGACCAAATTGCACATTGGGTCAAAGTTCATGGACTATTTGTGTCATTTTCCCTTAAAAGGAACATCTCTTTACTTCTGTCAATTACTAAACGGATGCCTCTTTTTATTTTTCAACTGCAGAGCATCTTTCTTTTGGAAGAAAATAACACTTATTTTTTAACAGCATGAATAAGCTGGCCTTGTTTCCTTCCATATTTTGAGATGGGGAACTGTAGCTCTGGCTCTAATTAGGACTGTTATTCATGTAAATACTTTTAGTTTTTATTAATAAAGGACTTGTTTCACTTGAAAACATGCATGTGGATGTATTAATCGTCATTAAAGATGAATTGAGCTCTTTTTTGGTTTCTTGATCTCTTTTTGTACTTAAAGATTTGGAAACATGAATCTTGCCTTGTTGACATGGTTTTGGGTGACTCTGTGATTACTCAAATGAACTATCTGAAGAAGGTAATGCAGATCTAGAGCTCATGCAATTGTTGAAGTTGGGAAACATGAATCTTGCCTTGTTGACATACGACACTTTTTGCATGCAGTTTCTTAGTATAATTTCTGTTTGCGGAGATGGAGGAATCCGGATTGTACTCTTATGGAGTTTGATTGTTGTGGGCTCTAACATGAGTGGATGAGATATGCATAGATTGGAGATTGCATATCTTTGACTGAAACTGTTGAAACGTTTTTAGCAAGGGTAGTAGCCTTCACTTTCAATATCAAAGTACATGCATAAGTCATGGATTTAGAGTTCAATTCATCAGAGCACGAACCTAGAGATGGACTGCACATTGCTAAAGCAGAAGGCCTTTTTTCAGAGTTAAGATGCATTGTAATATGGAGAGTCGATATTATGGATTAGCCTATCGTTTAGTCTGGATTAGCCCTATTGTTTAATATGGAAAGTCAATTATATTGACTTAAACAGTCGAAACGTCTTTTAGTCCGGATTAGCCCTATCGTTTGTTCCCCTGCTGTTTGATAGATGATCTGAACTGTTTGAAAAGCATATGAACCTCATTGTTCTTGATCTGAACTGTTTGATGCTGCCCTCGACCTCGAACTCGAGAAAGATATATCGATTGTTTTGTGACATAACGCGAAAGCTAAATGGTTTGTTACATACAATTTGGTCCGAGTATTTGTGTTTACTCCATAGAGGAACCAGTTATCAAGAAATTCACTATGAATCGGTGAATACAGGTTTTACAATCTCTCAAGTGTTTTCCTATCCTAAATTACACATAAATCAAACCCACAAGTATTATCAACTAGTTATAGACTACCAACTCTCATTAGGGTTGACGCTTATTTGTTCTTTTAGCTTACTAACAGTTCTATTGGGTCACTTAAATGAGAAAAAAAATTTGTAACTCACTCAATCAAAGGGAAAATTGTCAAAAAAGTCCTAAACCTATTATACGACGGCCAATTCAGTCCTAAACCTTTTAAGTTTGCCAATTCAGTCCTAAACCTTTTTAATTCTTGCCAATTCAGTCCTTCCGGCCAATTTTGGCCGGTCCGGCTAAATGACGTGCTGCCGCCAACGCCGACGTGGAAATTTTTTATTATTTTTTTCAATTTTTTAATCTTTTTTCTGATTTCTTCCTCTGCGGTTCGGTGACCGGTGGCCGGCCGAGGAGGGCTGGCGAGGTCGACCTCGCCCTCCGCCTCGCCAGAGAGCGAGCCGACCTCGCCCGTCGCCGGGTTCACGACGGCGAGGTTGAGCCTCACCGTCGCCCTGGGTCGACCTCGCCGTCACGACCCGGCGACAATGGAGGCGAGGCCGACCTCGTCGACGCCCGCTGCGTCGCGACATAAGGTCGATGGCAAACTTAAAAGGTTTAGGACTGAATTGGCCGCCGTACAATAAGTTTAGGAATTTTTTGACAGTTTTCCCCTCAATCAAAGATTGGTAATTTTCACATAGTTTAGTAAATTTAAGATGACGGTAAAAAAGATAAATAAAAATGTGTAAAAGACTAGAGAAAATTTCTTTTTGTCAAAAATAAGATGAATCGATAATTTTGAATTGACCAAATAAATGCTGGTAATTAACTCAAGTAAGAGTTAGTAATGTAAAACCATTTGGCTACCTTCTCATAAAATATGGTCGATAGACAAAAAGATGGGAAAGTATGAGTAATTCTTTTTGTCAAAAATAAGAGAAGTTAGAAACTTTCAAAAAAAATTGACGTTGGTAATTACCTCAAATAAAAGTTGATATCACAAGACTTGTTGATAAAAGTTGGTAATCACTGTGATTGAAGTTGGTAATGCGTAAAAAGAGTCGATAAACTTGAAAACAAATTTTCACTACTTAATCTTGAATTCATTGTTTGTCCAAAAAAAAAATTCTTGAATTCATTAGTTTGTTGATTATATAATGTGGTTGGTTTGAGTTGGTATCGTTCATGTGTGCTTTTATCTAAGTTTTTATGTGATTTTGAAGAGGATCAAATCTAGTTATGACTATTTTTTGTATATAAATTTGCCAACACAAGCTACCACGCATCGTGGATACAAATCAACCTCTATTGCTATATAAATAAACGTACGGTGTTGTGTCGATATTTGGCATGACGACATATTTGATAAGAGTTAGTCATGTTGTGTCATGTGTCTCGCTTTATTAAGCGCGTCGTGGCCATTGGCCAAGACAGTTTGACATGTTCATTGAACGTGTCATGCTCGGATTAGCAATACTCGGCAAAAGTACATCACAAGTGCCATAACTTGTGTACGGCGATCACTTTGGTGGCATAATTTTTTTTTCGGATCACCGTGGTGCCAAGTCGGAGAAAAAGAGATCACTTTAGTGCCAATTTGGCCGGAAATCCAACGTGGCATTTTTTATTAATTTTTTACGCCGAACGTGGTTTGATGCTGCCCTCGACCTCGAACTCGAGAAAGATATATCGATTGTTTTGTGACATAACGCGAAAGCTAAATGGTTTGTTACATAAAATTCGGTCCGAGTATTTGTGTTTACTCCATAGAGGAGCCAATTAACAAGAAATTCACCATGAATCGGTGAATACAGGTTGTACAATCGCTCTAGTGTTTTCCTATCCTAAATTACACATAAACCAAACCCACAAGTATTATCAACTAGTTCTAGACTACCAACTCTCATTAGGGTTGACGCTTATTTGTTCTTTTAGCTTACTAACAGTTCTATTGGGTCACTTAAATGAGAAATAAAATTTGTAACTCACTCAATCAAAGATTGGTAATTTTCACATAGTTTAGTAAATTTAAGATGACGGTAAAAAAGATAAATAAAAATGTGTAAAAGACTAGAGAAAATTTCTTTTTGTCAAAAATAAGATGAATCGATAATTTTGAATTGACCAAATAAATGCTGGTAATTAACTCAAGTAAGAGTTAGTAATGTAAAACCATTTGGCTACCTTCTCATAAAATATGGTCGATAGACAAAAAGATGGGAAAGTATGAGTAATTCTTTTTGTCAAAAATAAGAGAAGTTAGAAACTTTCAAAAAAAATTGACGTTGGTAATTACCTCAAATAAAAGTTGATATCACAAGACTTGTTGATAAAAGTTGGTAATCACTGTGATTGAAGTTGGTAATGCGTAAAAAGAGTCGATAAACTTGAAAACAAATTTTCACTACTTAATCTTGAATTCATTAGTTTGTTGATTATATAATGTGTAAAAGAAAAAAGAAAAGAAAAGAAAAGAAAAATGAAAGAAGAAAAAAAAAGGAAAAAATATTTAAAATAAAAATGCTTGATTAACACAAGCTCGACTCGCCTCCGGTGAGCCACGTCGGCGTCAAAAATTAATAAAAAATGCCACGTCGGATTTCCGGCCAAATTGGCACTAAAGTGATCTCTTTTCCTCCGACTTGGCACCAAAGTAATCCGAAAAAAAGTTATGGCATCAAAGTGATCGCCGTACACAAGTTATGGCACTTGTGGTGTACTTTTCCGCAATACTCATGTTGTAACCCCTATTTCGACGCCACACTATAACACAAATTACTGACCCTAATAACACATTATTCTTCAGCCATGAACTATTGTAATAGATAGGACGGACCAACATTTAAAGCGCACCACTTATTTTTTCTAAAACCATGAAGTTAGTTTTAAGATTTCTAATTTATTCTAAATGATTTGGGGTTGGAAAATTAACCTTTGCCCTCATTAAATTCCGGGAAAAAATCATTAAAAAACTCCAAACTATGTTTACTGTAACATATTTACCTTAAACTTTTTTTTTGTGACATCGAAAACCCTTAACTTCTACTTGCCTTACACATTTACCTCCATCAAGGTTCGGTCAGAGACGTCGCTTTTGTTTCACTTAAGGCACACGGGCGCCACTGTCAACACAATTTGTCTTCCACCGTCCATAAAGGTGGACTTTTAACGGATTTCATTGACGGAATATTGACATGGGGTAAATGTGTCCCACAGACATAAGTTTGAGAATTTTGGTGTCACAAAAAAAAATTTAGGGTAAATGTGTTACAGTGAGCATAGCTTAAGAGCGTTAGAGATTTTTTCTCTTAAATTTCTAAAATATATATACACATATATGAACAACTAAGTGAATGATAACTATTTTCATTTTTCCGATCAAATTTTTTTTCTTAATTTTTAACTTACCCGCAAATTGAGAGTTTATAAGGATACTCGCACGTGCTCGTCTGAGCGTCCCTTGTTTTGTCTCTCTCTCTTTTCTCGGATAGGTGAGGCGCTTGGTGGATGTTCTGTCACTGCACTCGAGCTGTTCGACGAAACGCCCCTGAGAAAAACTTCTTCCTCGGACACCATGATTCCGAAGCCGCTGCGCTCCCTCGGCGCCGGTGCTGCCGTAATCCTTGGCGGCTTCGTCTCTCTCAACGTCGTCTCCAGCATCACCATCGGCATGCTCCGGTCCGTCGCAGAGACGAAACGGGTAAAAAAAGCCGCGTCCTTTCTTAGTCCCTGGAAAGGTATTTGTTCCTTCTTGATGCTGAAAAAGAACTGGACGTTGATTGAATTCTACAGAAAAAGTTCGCGTTGCCTTGCGTGGTGTGTAAAGGGAAAGGGTTTTACGTATGCAAGCTGTGCAAAGGGAATGCCACGATCCAGTGGTCGCCATTGCACGACCCCATCGTCATAAGCCCCTGCGTTTGCCCCACTTGCGACGGAAACAGGTTTGTCCAATTTATCCCTACTCTTCTTATCTGGTTTTCTTTTGTTTACGATTTCGTTGAATCACGTGTACAAGAACATCTTGAAATGACCCGAAACATCCGGAACTGGTGTATTGCTCCGATTTTCACAGGGTACAGCGTTGTCTGAACTGCTTGGGGAAGGGTTATAGTTGAGTGGTGATTAATGTTGATACATCGAAGCGTTCGTGATTTATCAAAGCTGTCCAGATAGTGGAAAAGTAAAGCAGCTGTGCAACTAGAAGCAAGAGCGGCGGCATCGGGTAGATGTGTGACAGCTCGGTCAAGGAAGTACCATTGTTAGTTTCAGATACTTCAAGATTCCCATGTAAATTTAGGCAAAATGTTAAATGGTTTTGCCGATCAAGTATCTTTGGATGCACCTGCCACTTGAGATTGTCGTCAGCGAGCTTTACGGATTATGTTGGATTAGTAGTGTTTATTATTTCTAAAAGTCCCATGTGATGGCTTCGACATAGTGGCTGCATCTGAGATAGGTAAACCGAGGATCAATGAACTTGTGGCCTTAGTTGATGTTGCGAGTGGTCCGTCCGAGTTTGGCAGCTGGATTAGCGGTATGATATTTATTGTCACGGCTGTTTGTATTGTGAAATGTTGTAAAATGGGACTATGAAGCATCAAATTTTACCGAGCTGTTATATACTTCTATTCCTTTGTAAATGTAATATCCCATTGCTTGCTTCTTGCTGTTCGTATTTCTCATCGCCGAGTTTCTGCGTTCTGCATCGTGTGATTATTTGTTTCTTGATGTGATGTGATAGCTTGTTTCTGGGTTATTGTCCTGCATAGATCGCCTTATGAGCGCGTGAATGCTGGTTTACTCGAAATGAAGAGGTCCAACTGCAACCTCTCAATTGTTCTTAAGGAAGGGCTTAGATGATTCTTTCACCCACATGTATCAGGTTCACAAATTTAAATCTGTCTGCCACCAGCCTTTGAGCAAGAACACTAAAGTCGCACGCTCAACTTCAATAACTTCACTCACGAAAGGTTCTCGATAAGATCTCAGAACACTTCACAACCGGAAAAACCTCCCCCAATGTCTTCAGGTAAGTATATATGACTGTTTCAGTGCGCTAATTTTTGTGATTATCCCAGTTTGGTTGTTGGGGATGTGAATCCCTACCCTGTAATCATCATTATTGTAGCCGGTCTTTGAAAGTGCATGTCTGACTTATACTGTATCGAGTTTACGTTTTGTGTATAAGATGGAACATTTTATGTCCATCTAATAAAATGACGGACCCAAAGAATCCCGTGACGTGCGAGCATGTTTGGGTTTATTCTGTCATCAGATCCGAGGATACGTTTTGGTCTGAACTGAGTCTTGTTACAGAAAGAAGATGTGTGTTAATCAGTCCAAAACCACGAAGGAACGCTTCAAAATCCTAACTATGAGGATACCAACTGAAGTGGGAAAGTTACATTTGCTATTCTGGGTTTTGTTTTTCTGCCCAATATTATATTTTTTTTCGTTGCTTTCATGTAATCTCCATGTAATGGATGATGTGCTTGCCGAGTTGACTTTAGCTTGTGTTGACTCAGCATGCGACCTCCATCGACTTTTGAAACGGCTTCTCCGTGTCGGGCGGTGTTTAAAGCCAATAGAGCTGGAAACAAACGAGAGGACTCGATCCATCCGCAGGTCATTCAGCAGTTGCTGATCACTTGCTCCCACATTTCCCCTCTTCATTGTTGCTGTCTGTCCCATCAGAACTCCGGCCTCGAAGTCAACGAGGAAGTTTCGGTGAACGTAAGCTTTGATGTCAGTGTAGTTTGGTGTCTAATTACAAAACTCATCACTTGAATTTAAAAATGGAGAACGCAAAATGAGGAAAGTTCTTTGAAGCTTCTCTTTCGATAAAAAAAAAAAACCATATAAAGAGGACGATTGGTTGAGTCTGAGTCTGATAGGTTAACCCAACCCGTCCCGAACCCTTATAGCTGTAGGGATTAAATTGGCTGTGGGATGAGTTTGAGATTTCGGGAACAAACCCGACAGAGTTTGGAGCAGGTTTTAGAATTTTATATATAAGATTTGGGGAAACGACACAAACCGTCCCTGAATTTTGGCACAATGTGCATTTTGGTCCATGAACTTTTAATTTGTTCAATGTATTCCCTAAACTTTAATCTAATGTGTAATGTGGTCCCTGAACTTTTAATTTGTTCGATGCCAATCGAGCTTTTAGTGCCCACTGAACTTTTAATGGTCACGTTAATTCGAGTTCGGGGATTATGTTCTTCCAATTCGGGGGTGAGTCACTGAACTTTCGGGATGGCGTTATATGAAAATGTTCAATGCAATAAGATTTAGTCGGATCGCATCGTCTAGGTTTCTATTTCTATAATTGTCGATTTTTAATACTCAAAGATGATCTACTACTTACTTTGCGCCGGATAGGTCTTTTCAATAGAAAATTGGAGAAATAGCCGTTCGAAACCAATTCGGGATGCAATCTACAAAGACCCGATAGAGCTTGGGACGATTCTGGGAGAACATCAGGAAAGTTAGCAAGGAGGGGTTCGTATCCCAAGAACCGGTCCCAGTGCCGCCCCGATTCGCACCGACGTGAGAGAAATCACGGGGATCGGCTCGGAGCCGCAAAATCAATCATGTCGTTCGCGTGATACGATGCGTATTTCTCGAACGTAATTTTCCCGACTCGAGCGTATCGCAACTCTGATTTCGCGGCACCAAGCTCGATCGGACCCCACCCCCCCTCTCATCAAACAGCAAAAGAAAAGCCCGCAAATCGAAGCGCGTGCTCGGGCGGCCACCAGCAGCCCGCCGACCCCACGCCCGGCAACTTGCGAGCAGGACAAAAACGGCGCCCACTCGAAAAACAATATTATTTTCGAATTTCAAAGGAGAAAAGTAAGTAATTGCCTTCGAGAAAAAATTCCACGTCAGCTCGCCGCCCCCCCCTCGTTAACAAAAACAAAAACAGGGACCAGAATTTTCCACCTATTTATCTCTCTCTCTCCTCATTCGTTTGACCTCATTTCTCTCTCTTCCTCTCTCGAGCCCTAGAAGAAGCAGCTGCAGCTTGCTCGAGGAGCGGAGCTCGGAATCCCCTCCCCCGGGAGAAGCTCGGAGCGGGGGAGAAGACTAGGCGGCGTTGCTCCGAAGACCGAGCTCCGGCGTCGATCGGACCGGGTGGGGGGGGATCTCGGGCGGGGCTCCCGATCGTTGCCTCAGTTCCGGTAAATAGTCCGATTCCGAATCGCCGTGATGCGATCCGGCGCGCGGGCCCCGCGGCGGCCGGATCTGGTTCGTTTCCGTGGGCGGTCGGGGTGGTTTCGAGGGTTCCGGGTGGCGGTGGTGTTGTTGTGTGGTGGATTTAGACGATCGCTCTAGGCTGTGGTTCTGAGTTTTGAGCTGAGTGGGTATCTGATTGAGTGAGTCGTGGAGCTTGTTGGTTGTGTGTGACTTCAAGGCGTGATTTTTTGGGACCCGTGATGTGGGGGAGCGTGTAGTCGAGCCGAACGATTTGCTGTACTGCACGGGGATGGATTCTATGGGGCGGGGTCTTGCTGGTTTTTTTTTTGTTCTTAGTTGTGCTCATAGTAGATTTGCTTTCGATTCGGATGTGGGAACTATCGTGCATAGGTTCCGGACAGCGTTTTCGTGCAGGCGTATAGTGGTATGAGACGAAGGGCTAATACGGCGGCCCCCAGTCGGAACTTCCTTATTGGCCCTGCTTTGGTGAATGTTATCTTGTGTAGAGCATGAATTACGTACCTCGAGTTAAGATAGCGAGAGACCGAGTAGAGAATGGGAGGAGGACCTCGGGAGGTGGAAATTTGGTGAAATAGTATATAGGACTGTATAGCTAGCATTATTATTTGCAGTGGTGTGGGAGACGAGGGGTTATTTTCTTCTGGGAAAGATTTTTGTGCTGTTTTGGTTCTGTTCACGGTCTGTACATCTCACGAGGGAAGCATTTACATGTGAAATCTGATAACTACATTTGGTGAACAACATGTATTTCTATTTGTTAATTCACCTTAACGCTTTTGGTGGAGAACTTGTGGAGTAGATCTTACTGCGGCTGCTGGTGGAGTAGAATACTTAGAAACAAGTTTCGTAATAACTGATGGTATTGTATAAACAGTATCACTATCATACTATACTCCACCGCATAGGGAGGCATACCCACCAACATAATCTTGGCTTTGCAGGCTGAAATCAGTGTTAAAGCGACTAAATAACTTCTGATGGGATAAGTTGCTCGCAGCTAGGTTGAGTGACATAAGCTTTGGATGCTGCTTAATGTCGAGCAAGTTATAGTTTGAAGTAGTGATGAATGGGCCATTTGTATTGTACAGACCGCTAATAACAACACGGGATGGATTTTGTTGTAGACCTATCTCGTGATAGTTGACCTAAAGCCATGATATACCGTGAAGACCTCTCTGAATGACTGCAAGTAAAACTAATGCTTTGAAAACTCTCGACTTTTGACAGTGGTGCATCTATTGTTTTGCTTTATTCAATCTTTCAAATGACATATGTTATGTGATTTAAGTATCAGTTCTTTGTCTTTGTCTCCCTTGTTTTCTTGTTCTGTAATATAACTTGTCATGTTTCATATCTCGACAGTCTGATTCTGCTTTGGGCTTCGGGGGAGGCAACAACTTTAGAATTTTTGGGGTAAACTTCGAGTGAGATCTAACATGACGAAGGATAGAAGAGATAGGTCTGTATCTTCTGATAGGTTCAGAGCGTCTCCACTTCGGTGTAGCTCCAGTCGACCGAAGCGGCCCTTCCCAAAAATCCCTTCTGAAACCGAGGAAAACATTAAAGAATGGGAAGACGCAAGGTGTCCTGTCTGCATGGAACACCCTCATAATGCGGTTCTCCTCATTTGTGCATCTCATGATAAGGGTTGTCGTCCATACATGTGTGACACAAGTTATAGACATTCAAACTGTCTTGACCAGTTCCGCAAGTCATTTGCAGCGACTTCATCAGCAGTACCTCAGCAAGAGATAAATCTGTCTGTAGATGCAAACTTATCCCCCGTTGCAACATCGGACTCAACTATTGTCGATGCTGAAGAAATTATAGAGAGGCCTGCAACTGTTTCCTTGGAGACCCAGGTCCAATCAGATGGACCTGGGACATCTTCCGAGAAACCAGGGCTGTCAAAACTGGTTTGTCCGCTCTGCCGTGGGCATATAAAAGAATGGATCATCGAGGAACCAGCACGTCGCTTTATGAATGCAAAATGCAGAAGCTGTGCTTGCGAGACTTGTGACTTTACGGGCTCTTACAGAGATCTCAGGAAGCATGCTCGGCTTGAGCATCCTCTTGTGCGACCATCTGAGGCTGATCCGGAAAGGCAACGTAATTGGAGAAGGTTGGAGCGACAGAGGGATATTGGCGACTTGATCAGCACTCTCCAATCGTCTTTTAGTGAAGATAGGAATGACGAAGATGCCATCTTGCCCATGGAGGACAGGGGGTGGCTGACTGTGTTTTTCCTTATAAGGGTGTTCCAACCCAGTTCAAGGTCTAGGAGCAGCAGCTGGTCTGGCGCCTCAGGGACCAGGGCTCGCCTGACTTTCAGACGAAGATCGACCAGATTGTGGGGTGAGAGCTATGATGGGGACATCTCTCTATCTTCATCAATGGATGAGGATAATGATTCATCAGATGGTGGCTCAATTACTCGGAGGAGGCGGGAGCGCTTGCGGCGGCGGTCAACACCTAATAACGAGCCTTGATTCTCAAGTTTCGGATCGTATGTTTTGAAGTTTGCTTTCGGATCTGGCGATTGTAGGTGCTGCCTGGTTTTGCTTGCTTTTGTGTTTTTTGGCCGGAGATATGCTCGCTGTTGTTAGTTGATATTTCTTTTTCATCTTGATTAACTTATCATGATTGTATTTTTTCAGGTTGAAGAAGAGGACTACAAAGAAACTCTCTTTTGGCTGGGTCTCCGATTTTCTTCGTTGACAGTGGAATAGTAAGGTTGGCCTCATTGAAAGGGGTGGACATATTGTGAGACATCTTTGATGTCCTTGTAATATAAATACATTCTCTGTTTGCTCTTTGAACACTTGATGCTGCGATTATTTACTTGTTTCTTAAAACGGGGGTGCAAAATAATCTTGCTACCGAGCTTTTGGGGCTCTTGAAACTTCATATTACCGGCTTCCCGGTTATGCTGCGATGGGGGTCTTGTGCATCCATAGTACTCCTCTATCAAGCTTGTTATTGATATGGCTAGATGTTTGCTTTTGATGTGTGGTATGGCCTCTGGAATTTTGGGGGGTGGTTCCATGCTTGTTCTCTTAAGGACATTGCATACATTGCATATGTCGAGGTCATCTCCAATCTATCTCTATGTTCTGAGGGTGCATGGTTATTGTGTTCTCATCTGAAAATGAGGGAGAAACAGAAGAGGAAGTGTAGTAGGAAAGTTGCATTCATTTCCAGTGTATTGAATTCGTAGCAATTCTTTTCTCTGAAGAAATATACTCTTTAGAGGATTTCTAATTTGTGATGGTTTTTGATGGAGATTGTCAATGTTTGATATATTGCCTATTAGAACTATTGATACGGTAATATCTGGAGGAGGATAGCCACTAGGAGTGAGCAAGATGGACCGCCCAAACCGGGACCGGACCGGACCGACCGGTTTGGTCTGGTTCTCGGGAATATTGGTCCGGTTCCCGGTTCCTAAAAGTGGAACTGGTTTCCGGGCGGTCGGGTTCCCGGTTCTAGGGTGGGAACAGGACCGGACCGGACCGACCGGACAGGACCGATAAATATATATATTTTTCTAATTTTTTCATATATATATTTACTTTTTAAATATATATATTTAAATAACAAAAGAAGCATTTGATAGTTCATTTTTATTCATTTCCAATGGGACCAACCCAAAAATGCTTTCATATATTGATCCCGAAAATGCTTCCCGGTTCCCTCTTGTCTTTACCAATAAGTGATTGGTCCCATTGGAATCGGACCGGACCGGACTAGACCGACAGTCCGGTCCGGTCCATGGTCCCAAGATTAGCTGGTCCGGTCCCCGGTCCCAAAAACTGGGAACCGGTCCTCCCGGTCCGGTTTCCGGTTCTTGAGTTGGACCGGACCGGGAACCGCTCACCCCTAACGGCCACGGCTCGGGAATGATAGTGCTTCTGAGAACTTATGAGCATTATCCATGAACCCCATCCAACCTGAGGCCAAATGATACGCAAAAGATGCAATGAGGATTCATCCCCTCCGTTATAACGTGGACGTTCTGGATCAACCGTAGAAAACGAATTATTCAAGTTTCGTTTGTTTCACGAAATGTAATTTGCAGGAAAATGCTTTTTGAATTTTTCAGCTTTTGATTAATAGAAAATAAACAAGTCAAGGAAAAAATATTTTCCATTAATGGAAGGACACGAAGGTGGCGAAAATGATTTTCTCTCCTCTTTCTTTAACCCAGATCAAGCACTTTCCTCTTTGTGCACTTCTTTTAATAATTTGTTATTTTTCTTTTTTTTTTATTTCTTGTTCCTTTTTCTTCGGCCACGGCAACGGTCGGTGACCAGTCACAGGCGAAGGATGAGTTCACTGACCTTTGGCGAGGCTTGAGCTTGCTTGTGAATGGTCCCTAGGCATCACTCTGGTCGGCGACCGGCCAAACAAATAAAAATTCTATTTAGGAAAAATGAAAAGAAAATAATAAAAAATATTAAAGGGATTGCACGAAGGAAAATTAAATTATATTTTCTTATATCAAATGACGAAATATAAATTTTTTTTTATTTGCGGGTTTCAATCAAATATCAAAAAATAATATTATTATTCTTTTGAAAAATAATTTCATTTCTCACGCTTTTTCGCAAAATAGACAGAGCCGTGGTCTCCCTCGAAGGCTTGGAGAAAATACCTGCCCTTGCTTCCAAAATGGTGCCCGACTCTGACCACAACATGTGGTTTTGCTCCTTTTTTTGTTTTGGTCGGTTCTACTCTATCTCTCACTCACGATACACACTCAGACTTGCGCCCCACCTCTTACAGGGCGTGGGCGTCGAAACCCACATCTTAAACTACGCGGCCCCACCCCTTCCCCCCTGCGAAGGTGGGGATTCGAACTCCCCACCTCCCCCTTCTCAAGTGAGAAGGGTGGCCACTGGGGTAAACCCCCGGTGGTTGATTTTGCTCCTTCAAGTACCCCTCTTTTGACACGACACTTTTCCCACTTTTGCTGCCCTGCCATCACTCTTTGAGTGTTGGGGTCTCCGAGGAATATGAATTTTACGTGTACTTCTCAGTCCGGCAAATGACATATAAATGCAAAGCCACGTATTTTCATGACGGGTCTATTTTTCGAGATCTTTTAAAATCGATCCATGAAATGTATGGTCTTTCGCATTGTCGAGAAATTAGTGAGATTTTCCTTTTTCTTTTTCATCATGTTTTCCCCTACTTTCTATGCCGTTCAATAATATAACGACATAAAAAAAAGACGTAAAAGAAAGAAAAACTAGTCCAAACCCGTCTCCCCTCTTTCTCTCTCTAGACCATAGTGCTCCAACTGTCGCTACCGCCACCGCCACCACCACGACTCGATCAGCATCGCGTTCGTATCTTCGACGGCCTACCTTGTCGCGTCCATCATCGACTTCGTTACGAGCTCATTGTTGCACCATTTTGGCCACCGCCCTCTTTTTTTTTTAGGGATATATAAGGTTACGTACAATTTTACCCTTGCTGTTCTATTCGATCATCTAAATATTTTTCTCCGCAATATAGTTCCCCGTCTTTCACAATTTACACCATCGAGTCTTACGGCCATCAAACCATTACTAACACGGCCAAAATTGTCAGTATGGCATCGCTGACGTGGTGAGTTTTGGGTAAACGGTATTGACATCGCGTCGAATCAACACGTAATAAAAAGAGACAAATGTACACGTAGATAGGCGTGGAGATAGAGATGAAGGACTTGCATTACACAAGGGCTATTCCCCTACACCTTTCGATGATTGGCGAGGGTTTTTCCACCCTCGCCAATGGTCGAGGGGGGGCAAAAAAATCCCCCTTAACTTTTTATCTCTTTTAACAGTCGGACGACACGGAAGCAATCAACTTCGTAAATCATGGAAGGATAAAAAAGGAAAAAAAAGGGACTATATTGCGTAGAAGATATATTCAAAGGATCAAAGAATGAAATATTTAAAATATCGAAGAATAATACCACGGAAAATCCCCAAAATCAGTGTGTATCTGTGATAAATTTACCCCAAACTAAAACCCCAGATCGGTAACACCCGTGATAAATTTACCCTCCGTTAGTTTCTGTTAAATTTTATCTGTTAAATTGCCGAGTTGGATGACACGTGACAGTTGATGGGTATATTTGTCAGAGGTTTATCAATTTGTGATTTTTCTTGGTATCAATCTAATTTAACAGAGGGCATGTTTATCACGAGTGTACCAATTTGGGATAAATTTGTTACGGGTGTACTAATCTGAGGTTTTTTGTGATAAAAAAATAGTTCGGAGTAAATTTATCACAAATACAATAAATTAGAGTTTTTTTGTGATATTATCCCTAATACTAAATTCATATTCAACCTCGATATATAGTATAATCTTTGAGCGATGATAGTGACATGGAATTGCCCCCCTTGGCCACTTCAAATTTCAAAAAAAAAAAAGGAAGAGAAAGAGAGAGAGAGAGAAAGCAAAAGTAACGAAACATGTGTCAATCAAGGCGGGGGCCTACCCTGACGTCAAAACACTTCCAATGATATCTCATCATATCATGCACAATCAATGCCTCGCCACCTTGTCCCCACACCCCCACAAACGCCCCCCTGCTTCCCCGTCCGATCGTCTTCCTCTTTTGCGTTCCTTTCAGCAGCATCTCCAACCCCTCAATCCGACCTCCCTCCCTCTGTCTGTCTCTGTCTCTCTGTCTCTCCTTGGGGGGATGAAACCCACTTTTTGATTGTGTTCTTTCCCAGCTTCTCCGGCGTTCGATTTCGAGGAGATGAGCTCTTGAAAAACGGAAGGAAGAGGATTTGGTGGGTTGGTTTGTGCGCGCGCCCCCCCGCGATTCCGGTGGGAAAGAGATGGGGGCGCACCACGCCTCCGTGACGAGAACCGAATGGGAGACTCAGGTGGTTGTCAACGTGTACGATCTCACCCCCGCGAATAGTTACACCGCCTGGTGCGGTCTGGGCATCTTCCATTCCGGCATTGAAGGTTGGCTCTCGAAGAATCTTGGGCTTGTTCTGCCTACCCTTTTCCTTGAATTCTTTCTGTTCGGGTCGATTGGGGCAGCCTTTTCCAATCTTTCCCATCTGGGTGTTGGCTTATAGTGGCCGTTTTGTGTACCCTGATGTTGCGCGAGTGTGGCTCCTGTTGAAAATCGGAAAGGGTCTTGAGTGCTTGTAGCTGCGGTGTTGGTTTGAGGATCGGTGCTTGCTCTTCGATGTTGTTCGCTGCTAAATTCACTTGTTCTGCTGTTCTTGCTCTAACCCAAAAATTCCTATGCATCGTGATGTTGAAAGAACTAAAATGCAGGTAGATGCGGGCAGGAATTTCGTTAGAAAGGTGAGAATTTGGTTGCTCGAGAAAATCAAGTGCATTTGAATTAGCTAGTAGTGTTGCATTGCCATTCAGTATTTTCAATTAACTGATTGTGCACTCGATTACTCCAAAATCGTAGACAATTGGAGGAAGATGTGATGCATGCATGTATATCTCTGAACACACTCCCCATCAGTGAAAGCTAGTGCATTTGCAAATTCCTGAGGGATTGGACCTTGTGCATTTGTTTGGTTGAAGAATGGTTGAAAACCATTGCATCTAAAGAATCAAAGGAATAGGAAAGGGGAAGGTCTAGCAATGCACCACCCCTCAAAAACCTAGCTATTGACGTTGGAGAGCCCTGCAAAGTCCCATACCAATGGACCGGGCTCCACAGTCCTGGAGCCTAGATCGGGCTGGCTATGGACTACCCTTTTGCTAGTCTAGGGTGGTTGAATAATGCAATACTGGCATCAGTACCGCCACTCGATTAAAGTATGAGAAATGATAGATGCCTATGATATTTATGATATGGACCTTAGGAGAACCATACCCCAAGATCTTTCTATTGAGGTGGGATTGCCCACGGTCATATAAGCTACCTGCTGAAGTCCTGTACACTCGATGTGGGATCCAAGTTCCATACCTTGAATTAGGAACATAACAGAATGATGTGGTGCATATTTTCAATCTTACTCAAAAAGATGAATCTGCAAAAGTAGCTTTTGTTTTTCATGATTTTGTGATTCGATTGCTAATGCTCTTACGTTTCTGGTCATGATAGCCAGACATTAGAATTGCTCCTGGGCTTTGCTTTAGGAGTTGTGTCCTGTCATGGGCTAGATTAATAATCACAATGGGGAACCCAGATAGAAGAGTTGACTCTGATGCTTGACTTTGGTCTGCCGGTTCAATATGAAGAGTGTATGTCTAAAGAGTATGTACACCATTCCTTTTCAATTGAACTGACCTAGCAATTATATGTATGCAGTGCATGGTAAGGAATATGGCTTTGGAGCACACGACTTTCCAGCTAGTGGAGTATTCGAAGTGGAACCACGGAGCTGCCCAGGATTCATATACCGGTGTTCTATTTCGCTGGGCCACATAAATATCCCTCCCTCGGACTTCCGGCTCTTCATCGAGCATATGGCTTCTGAATATCATGGGGATACATATCATCTTATATCCAAGAATTGCAACCACTTTACTAGTGATGTCGCTTTTAGATTGACAGGCAAAACAATCCCAGGGTGGGTGAACAGGCTGGCCCGGCTCGGTAAACAAATTTTTCAATTTAGAAATCTTTTGCTTTGTTTCATTAATCTAGTCTGTAGAATTTTATGTAAATTGATTCTTCACAATGATTGAATAGGAACTCTACGATAGAAACCATTTTGCCTTTTCATTACTAGTTACATAGCCGAAGGAAGTGACTGAAATTTATCTGCTTAATTGCGGCTGTTTATCTATGAGCAAGAGCTGTAGTGCTGCTTATAATTTCACCGATGATGAAGAATCAATATGTCTAAAGCAATCCCCCATTTTGTATTGTAGGTTCTCTGTGTAGTTGCATTCTTCCAGAAAGCCTTCAAGTCACTACTGTTAAGCAGCTCCCTGAGTATCACGACTTTTCCGGTTAGTTTTTCTAATTTTCTCGTGTTTTTGGCATTTGTTGTACTCTTTAGTACTAGTTTTGGACCAAAATAGATTGCATACTCTTAACTTTTCCCAAACTAGACTCCTGAGAAAATCATTATCCAGTTTTAGCCTCTAAGCACCACAAGATCGTGCAAAAAGTGCCGCCATTTCTGCACACGCCACAAAATTTTGATCATAAATACAAGTAAAAAGCTACTCCTTGGCGTCTAGCTTGGGAAAAAATTGCGCATCTGTTTTAAAAAAACTCCTTTATTGCTGTGACAAATTATCTCTTATGTGCAACCTTGATCGTTGAATTTGCTTGTAAGTAAATACCATGTTGATATTCAGAGGAAGATGGTACTGAATCTGTATCGACTATGACTCCTCGCGATTCTACCGAGATGGACGACACCGATCAGGAGAAGCACTTGTTGTCGGCTCGGGAAGCGGCTGGAGAATTGGCTTTTATTAAAGAGCCAGAGAAAAATTGAACTTAGGTAGAAAACAAGTATGCTTGCAGCAACAGGAAGTGTCGTTTGCCCATCATTGCATTTTCCCATATCTCCTAGTCTATGCTTGATCACCACAATTCAAACAATGTAATTGTTCCTTCGCGGATCCTCATCATTCTTTTCCTATATTGTGGTGCTTTTCGATGTAATATCTTCACACTCCATATTATGCACGGGACGATTGAGTCCGCTGTAAATGAGTATTCATTTGACCTGTTTCCACTTACATCTTCTCCGTCTCGTTTTCACCGAGACTTGAAAGTACCAGATTCGCCAGCAGAAATTCTGCGATTGTTGGGTTCGGAACATGCAGGTTGTCTCACCTCGACGTCCTACCCGATACAATCAAAATTTCCAATGATTTGAACTTTTCTATGTTTCTAGAGATGCATTTCCGAGTTGCCGAGTGAAAGTGTCTAAGAGATGGATTTTGAGGTTTAAATTGTAGGAAAATGTCGCAAATGGTCCTCAAGCTTTGGTCTAATGTGCAATGTGGTCCATGAACTCTTAATTTGTTCAATATGATCCATGAACTTACGCCCAATATGCAATGTAGTTCATGAACTTTTAATTTATTTAATATGGTCCCTAAACTTTCGGTACATGTTCAATTTAGTTTCTAAACTATATGAAAATTGCCAATGTTGTTTTTAATATTGAATTAATGTAATGACAACATTGAACATTTTCATATAATTCAGGAATTATATTGAATATGTATCAAAAGTCCGGGGATCATATTAAGCAAATTAAAAATTTAGGGACTACATTGCACATTGGGCTAAAATTTAAAAATCGAATTAAACAAATTAAAAATCCATGGACTATTCGTATTATTATCTCTCAATCTGCTGTTAAAGTTGAAGGAAATCAAGGGTAGTGTTCACCAGCATGTTCTTCATATCCTCTCAGCATTTAATATTCTTAACGAGACATTTGCTTCACGGGTTGTTCTGTCTAAAATGTTGGATTTGCTTTCAAGCGATGGACACATTACCGAAAGGAAGGCCGCCAGCAATAGCGATGCGCGAGCTTTGTGTAGGTTGCGGGGGGCATCACAAAAAATTAGCCAAAAAAGTCAAAATGAAAACAATGACAGTAAACGAAAATAAATATAAAATCAAAATCAGCTGGGGTCTTTTTATATGGAATAAATCTGTGCAAAGTGCCAAAATTAGTCGTTGGGAATTTGAAGTTTGACGCAGGAAATCTCATTCATTAATTTTCTAAATCTAACCTTTAGAAATCTAGGTAACAAACTTTTACGAGAATTTTAAATTTTTTTTTTTTTTGATAACCCAGGAACCCCCGCACGGCCGACAGCCGGAGGCCTTCCATCTTTTTTAAATTCATCCCCCCCTTTTTTTTTTAAAAAAATATTGTGGAATAAACACGTTTAACACGGTGAATACTTTGGTTAGCAAGTTTAGAAATCTAGGGAAACTGGTTAGCAAGTTTAGAAATCTAGAGTTTCCCTTCTTCCATCTAAAGACGCAAGTGATATTCTTTGGCAACTCACTTTACCTATCTTCTCGAAAAATACGACTTTTTCGTTTTTTTTAATGCTTTTGGCTTTTGTCCTTACTTTTCCATTTACTTGGTACGTTACGGTATCGGAAAAGAAAATACCCAAAAACTTTATTTATTTCGCGAAAAATGATTTGCAAAATTTTTTTTTCTCAGAAAAATGATCGCTCATGTCGCTTACAAAAATGAATAAATGGAAGATATTTTCATCGTCATCGAAATTATTTAGATGTAAATTGTTATCGATAATGAAAATATTTTTTATTGACTAATTATTTGAAGCGACACGGATGATCAATTTTAGGAAAATATTTTCAAATCATTTGTTTTCCTGCGAAACAAACGGAACCTAAATGGTTGACTACCCTATTGTTGGCAGACAAGTTCTTGCCTAAACCTGTTCCATCATAGATTGAGCGAATTGCAATCATTGATTTTTTATAACGTCCTTAACTGGTCTAATAAAATAATCGTATTTCGTGGATTGTGAATGATCGATACCGCGTAATTATTTCGGTACCCGTGCCTAACTTGACTTTATAAGTAGTGTACGAACAACCTAACTGATCAAGTAGCGAGATTATGTCCTCCTTATTTAACGGGAAAAAAACCAAAATTAAGAAGTTCATCGGATTTACTTCAGGATCAACCTCTTTTTATGAATTTCAAGGAAAAAACGAAAGACGTATTTATATTTGGTATACCGGAAAAATATATTGACTTAGACCCACGTTCGAGACGACTACTTATTTTATTTCCATGAATATAAATTAGAAAATCTAATTAGTTTTGAAGTCTAAAGTCAAAAAAACTGAAATTGGAAGTTGCCAAGCATTTGGATTTCCGTGGAGAAGCCCGAGGCGGACCGATTGACCCCTCGACAAAGATTTGACCTATGTTTTCTTTTTCCTTTTTCTTGGCCAAATTTTCTTGAAAATATTTGTAATTTTTTTTGTCCAAATTGATAATAGTCGTTTCAAAAAGGCTCATTTGGAAGGTAAAATATTTTTATTGCTGAATTAATTCTAGAAACACCAAATTTTGTCAATATATTTGGGGCACGCTCACTTTCCGATTTTTTTTTTTCGTTTCACCTAATTTTCTACCGGATCGAGTTAGGGAATTCGATCGACTCGATCAGATTTTACAAAGACTCGATAAATAACGTATGATCAATATAAAGTATATAAACACATAAAATTATCAATATAGTTTGTCAATGTAGAATTCAAACTGAGACCGCAATTCGAAGAATTTTGCTTACTTTTTAAAAAATGAATTAGGTGGCATACATATTGAGTTGTTTTTTTTTTATTTAAAAAGTTAAAAGCTTAATTCCACATCAACTAAACTATCTATCTTCTTGGGCAAGATGGCAAGCTGGCACAGAAAGCCTACCATAATCACGATTAATTAATAAATTAATCCCTTTGATCAAACAAAAATTTAAAAGATAACATTATTAAATACAAACTAACCCAATCCAAAAAAAAAAATGATTTTATTCGACCCTTTTTGTTTTTTTGGGCGTGTGAGACTTTGGGATTCAAGTTTCTAACACATCAAGAATTTCAAGAAACAAGAAACAGAGCATCGAATTCGTGCGCCTTTCAATATCGGGAAATCAAGAAACAGAGGAATACGGTACGTCGTCCCTCGTCTGCATTCTCGTCGTTCTTTACGAATTCCGTCTCCTTGGAGCTCGTTGATTTCTGGGTCTACGGTTTCAATCTTGTTTCCATGCTCTTTCTTGGTCATCTCGTTTGTCTAATTTTGGGTTTGGAATATTCGTGGCAATGGCGATTTCATTGGGAAGCTGTTGCAATCGGCTGTGTTTGAGTAGAACGTGTCTGACTCTGTCTTTGGTGTCTCTAAGAGAGAGAGAGAGAGAGAGAAAGCAAACAGAGCAATATTTTTCTTCTGCTTTCTTTTCTCTTTTCTTTTTCTGGGTGTTCTTTGTCAAATTTAAAATCGAGGGAAGGCGTAAAAACAGAGGAATTTCTTTCGTATAATTCGAAATCTTTTGAAGCGGAAGCTTTGATGATCGAGGTTGGTGATGGTTTTTGTTAGCTTTCAATTCTCTTGCGGTCAGGCTGGAGATCGTGCTTGTTGGAGTAGCTTGTGCGTTGCTTTGTTTGATCAGCTAGATGAAAAGTAGATGAAGAAAAAATTAGGAGGGTGATTTATTTTATTGGATATGTGAAGCTGGAAATATGAGATGCTTTGACCAGGTCTTACTTTTTATTTTTGGAATACAAGTCATCATTGCTGAACATTTTGTTCTTTCTCTTTTTGTATTTATTTTTACTGTCCTATGTTTAGAATTCTTAGAAACAAGGGATATGATGGTGATGGTGATTTGATGATCAGGTTTTGAAGAATCATTCTCAGTGCTCTTTTTCTTTTGGCTCACTGATAATGCTTAGCGAAAAATCTCTGCATGTTCATCTTTGTCCCGTGGTATTTCGTATTGCTGCTTATACTTTCATTTATTCAAACTTTACGTTCTTTCCTAAGAATCTGCTAATTTTTTGTGTTTTCTTTTTGGAGTTAAAGGATTATATTGTTCTTGTACCTTATGGTGTTCTTTTTCCTGAAACAACTATGATGTTCTGTTGATAATCTCCGTCCGTGAGACAGTTCCAAAATGTTACACCGATTTTGGTGATTGATCTACTCGTTCAGCCACTGTGTTTAATTTCTCATACTCTGAGTTTACTGAATGACAGGTTCCATCTGCTGGAATTTGAGGGGACAAACATGACCACGAGATTCAAGAAAGGAAGTAAAGTGGAAGTATGGAGCACGAAGGAGATGCCCGTGGGTTCCTGGCAATGTGCTGAAGTGGCTGGTGGTAATGGTCACACTTATACAGTTCAATACTGCAGCTATGGCAGCGCATCTTGTGAGACTACAATGGAGAGGGTATCTGGAAAGGCTATCAGACCTTGCCCACCTGCACTGCAGGCGTTGCAGATGTGGACTCCGGGTGATATCGTGGAGGTTTTCGAGAATTTCTCCTGGAAAATGGCGATGGTATTGAAGGTCCTTGGGCGAAGTAACTTTCTGGTGAGATTTCTGGGATCACCTAGGGAGTTTGGTGTTGGCAATGCTCACATAAGGGTGAGGCAGTCGTGGAAAGACAACAGATGGATTGTGATCGGACAGGTGAGGCCACAAAACTTTGGTTGCATTTTCATCTTCTAAGTGCTGCGGGGTTTATCTTCCCTTAATGCATGGTGAACTTTGGTTAATTGTAAATGTGTACCGGAGTAAATTTTCTTTGGTCATTGTTGTCTTCTTACTTTTTAATTTGCCGGTTGACCATAGTCAGTATATTAAGTTGACTATTATAATACTATAGATCAAGTTTATTTTTAGTCATGGGCTGTTACTTAAGTCTAGTATGGAAGCAGATGGGGCAGGTTTCAAATCCGCCATGCTGGCAACTTTTGAAGTTGGCACTTGGCAGGTCTATTAGCTGTGAGACTCGTATACTTCTTTTTGCTTGTTATTCTTCAAGCATTTCTCATCACTAATGGCAGTTGCTTGAATTCATTCGTTATGATAAGACATATTTCTATGCGTTTTTTTTTTTGGTCGAAGACATATTTCTATGCATTAGGAGATTGGTTTTTACTTACATTTTTCTTGACTGTAGATTTCAGCCATTGCTGATGACCGGAGAGGCGACCTATGTCAAGACTTGACGCACGATCAAAGTCCCGGCAACACTATTCAAATTGCAAATGTAAGGAAGAAAGCATCTATTAGAGATGGCTGCATTCCCATAAAAAAGAGACCGGTATTTGAGGAGTCCCATGATACTTTGAAAACAGAATCGCCATATGAATGCTCTAGGGTTGAATCACCTGCTAGAGCTTCAAAGAAACGTCGAGCAATTGACAAAAAAGGAAGATGTTTTCCTGTCAGTGCAACTCGATCTACACCAGCAGAAAGGGTTGGTTCTGCGGCGTTTCAGCGAGAAACTTGTGGTGCAAACACTGCATGTGTCTATTCAAAGAAAGAAGCAGCCATACTATCCAAAGTAGACGAGTGTGGAATGAAACCAAGTGGGGATGTTGGTCGTCCTTATCCATCACAATCAAGATCTGATGCTGATGGCGAGACATGCTCGGTTGGAAGTTGTACTGTGGCTAGTGAATCATCCAGTAACTTTTCTGCAGACCCTTTTGACGATGTTAATAGTTATGCCAATGAGACGGAATCGATTAGTTGGCAGAATAAAGAACAGGTATTGGAGGCAGAAATCCACAGATTAGAGTTACATGCATATCGTTGCACATTAGAGGCATTTTATGCATCAGGACCTCTAAGTTGGGAGCAAGAAGCATTGATTTCTAATCTTCGTCTTTCGCTCCATATATCAGATGATGAACACTTGCTGGAGCTCAGAAACTTGGTCTTTTCGGATAATATCATTCCGCTGGGTAGACAGTAATTCACCTTAGAGTAGCAAAATCTTAACTTTGTAGCAAGAGGATTGTATGGTACATTTCTCTAAGTTCTATCGAGATCTAGTTATCTACATCTCTCCTTTATAATTGTCAGATACATGGTCCCGACGAGATGTGTCTAGCAGACCTCGATGTTAAAAGCCTTGGTTTGTACTTGTCATCAGCATGATGATCTTTTGATTCGACACATCAGTTCTCAATAGTCCCGTTTTTCTTCTTGAACAGTTCTATGAGTTCAGAATCTTACGTAGAATAGATGTTATACTTTAGTATGTTATAGTTGTTGGTTCTGATATTGAAGCGGTAGAAATTCGTTACCAAATCTTCGAGTGAATATGATTGTACGATTAACTGATTCTCCAGTTTGGTATTTTGAGGATATTTTGTCTGCCTCTTGTTATCTTGTGCTAGATTTTCATTTCGAAAATTCCTCGTGTAGTAACAAACAGGTCTTGCTGCAGTGATTACATGTGGACATGGTTGTTCAATAATACTTGATTTCCTCTAAACGGAAAGTCGACAATTTGATCCAGGGACTTTATTGATGCCTCCTGTGCCTTTTCCAGGGCGAAAGAGCAGAGAACAGAGCATGTCGTTAATAATTTGCCAGAGGTGGTTTCTCCATCGACCGCCTTTCTCTCTTCCTGAAGCAACGCAATGCAAAGGATATCAGATATGGGTATCATTGTGGAAGATGCTGGCATTCTTCAATTTTAAGCCTGCTCTTCTCCAGGAATAGCAACATGTATTAAATGCCCCGTCGGAAGCTTTAAGGTTTTGCTCAGTCCTTTCACTTTAGCTCGTGCACATGCTTATTCTGTTGATCATCTGCTATGATGTGATGTGTGTCGCGATGCTCCTTTTCCGGCATTTGTATGCTTGACACTGCCCAGCTTCCTCATTTGATTTGAAAAGAAAGCCCTTTCATATACATTATCAGCTGTATTCTGGTTCGTTTATGACAAGATGAACTAATGCGGTTCGACCCCGCAATGCTGCAACTGATGCGAGTGCAAAACATGCACATCATCTACAAATTAACATGAATCGAGACGAAGTGATGCGAGAATTGTCGGAACGACATTATGTTCTTCAAGAAGCTGGAATATACAGCTTCACAAAGGAGCAATGGAACCTCTTTCTGAAATGTTACGTAACTGAGCTTAGTATAGACGCAGTGAAGCCACATAACTCTTGCATAACTTTGGATCCTACGCTTGTTATCAGGCTCAAAAGTTTCCGAGATTTTGGTGCTTAACTTTTATTCTCTTTTCATGATGATGAAATGGTATGTTGTTTTTTTTCTTTTTTGAAGCAGCTAGTTTTGTGATTATGCTTCTTGCCCCTTGTCATACGTTGTTTTAGTAGTACTCAAATTCGTTTCTGTACGTTAACTATTACGAAAAATGTCATACCATGCAAATTACTATTAAAGTGGGAATTTCTAAGTGTCAATATATTGTGATCCTTTGTGTAGGAGTTATACGTTAAAAATTGACTCGAGCCCGATTAGATACGACGGGGACACGAGGGACCGTACAAGAGCCCCAGAAACATTTTGTAATTGATGTAAAAGCAATTTATGAACTTTTCAATTTGTTTTTTGACAAAAAAAAATTACTTTCAATTTATTTAATATGGTTCGAAACTTTTTCTTTTGTTGTTGCGTGTTAGGTTCCTAAGCTATATACATTCCGTTCGAGTTGATCCTTTTGTCAAAAAAAAGTGCTCGAAAATGCTGATGTGGCCGGTAAGTTATCGTGAAGTGCAACTTGCATCAAACATGTTTATTAAAAACTTTAAAAATATATTTAATAAATAATATACATTAAAATATTCAAAAATAAGGAAAATCGAAAGAAAAAATACAAAAATGTAAAGATAAGTACGTTGGAAGTTTTAAAACTTGTATCAAAAGTGTAATTGAGTCTTACAACCTGCAAAAAGTACAATCAAATTTTAAATCTTGTCAAATTGATGCAATCAAAACCTTCCGTTAATTCCGTCCAACTTGGCTAACGGAAAATGCTGATGTGGCTTTTGTAAATATTTTCTCTCTCCTACGTGACGATGACGTGGCTAAAATATGAAACATAAGGCTAAAACGTGGTCCAAATCTAATTTTTTTACAAATTTTATGTAAATTAAATAAAAAAATAAGCTAAAAAATGGGAAAGTTGGAAACTAGCATCACACCTTTCCCTGCGATTGGCGAGTCATTAGCCCCTAGCCAAGGCCCGGCGACCCCTGCTAACCATTCCCCCACCTTCCCGGTGATGGTGGGGCGGCAACGAGGGCTTGCTGCAAGCCTTTGCCGCTAGTTTCCAACTTTTCATTTTTTTTTCATTTTTTTTAAATTTAGCCTTTTTTATTTGATATAAATAAAATTTGTGTAAAAAATCAAATTTGGACTAAAACGATGTCTTTTTAGCCACGTCATTGTCACGTAGGAGAAAAAAAATATTTACAAAAGTCACGTTAGCATTTTCCATTAGTCAAGTTGGACGGAATTAACAGAAAGACTTGATTACATAAATTTGACAAGTTTTAGGACTTAATTGCACTTTTTTGCAAGTTTTAGGACTCAATTGCACTTCCGTAACAAGTTTTAGGACTTTCAACGTGCTTATCCCAGAAAAGAAAAAGGATAGATAAAGGGGAAAAATGGCAGGGCTAGAGTGGAAGTGGTAGGGGGTGGCAAGAGCGGCAAAGGCGACTGTGGCGCCACCCGTGCATTAGCGAGGGTTCAGCGCCGTGGCCATGCTAAGGCGGAACCACCACCTCCATCCCGCGCCGCACAAGCACACTCACAGAGGTCTCGTTGCAGCAAAATTGCGATAGGAGAAGAACCCTGCCGACAGCACGGTATCGTTGTCATTGAAAGCAGTATTCTCGTTGGCATTGGCATCGCAATAGCGACAGAGGTCCCATGTCAAAGCGGCTGGAGAGGAAGATCCCTGCTGATAGCACCATTGTCTCTCTCTCTCTCTCCCTCGATCTAATGGTGACGGAGGTCGCGCGACTAGTCACACAGCCGCCACAATTCAAGGTCATGAGATGCATCTCAAATATAAAGGAGGTGGTGTGTTCCCACGTTGTTTTCTCACATCTCTTTCGTTGCATCTTAAATTAGAGCACGCGGCAGCAACGCCTTGTATGCTATGGCAGATCACCCTGGTTTTGTTCCCTCAGTAATTGTCAGCCCCGGCCCCAAAAAACGTAACAGATCGATGCTCGCAAGAGTCCCGAATTCACCCCATTTTTGTCGAGCTTACATTGCATCCAGAGGATAACGGGAACCACCTGAGAGAAGGCTGCGTATCCAATTTTTTCCACCCCGCGTGATGGGGAATGGGCGGAAATAAGGAAGGTGCACGTTTGTGAGAGCTTAGTCGGGATGGGGAGTCAACCTACGAGCACAGGAGAGCGTGGTACCGCTACATTACGACCACCGAACAAAAAACTTGGTTGACGAACAGGGTTTATGCACATCCCACGCCCTAGCCGGTGCTTGGGCAGTGGCACCGCCGTCGCTGTCATTCTCCATTTATTAATGGGTTTTGATGTTTTCTTCTTCTTCTTCGTATTTATCCGTACGCAAAAATCATTACCTATCCCTCATTAGTGAAATTTTTACATTACTCCGACGTGACTGTCCACATCAGCATCCTTGTCCGCATATTAACAGAAGTGATTTATGTGAACAAAAACATAATTTAAGACCCAATTGCCAAGAAAGAGTTCGGAGAAATAGCATTAAACAAATTGAAGAGGTCAAGGGTTATTGTCACAACCTTCCCAAGATGAGCCCGAATTATTAGGCAAGCGCAAATGAACCTCTCGGGATGAAAACTAGTCGAAATAGCGATTTTATCAAAATAACGTATACATAGAAAGAGTTTAAAGTGAGTTTAACTAAGAGGATGCAAATTTTCTTAGGTTGAATTACATATGGAAGTATTTTGGTAAACGAATCGAGTATGGATCGGATACAAATCAATAAACTTTTGTTGCAAATAAACAGGTTAAATAATTTCATTTGAATCGGACCATTTTCGATCCAATCCAAACATGACCCCCCATTTGACACCCTACTCACCACATAAAAGATTAAACTAACTCCCAAAATCAATGCCTATTTTCTTTTAAGGAAAGTTTTCCATGCGATATCGATTGGTTTTATTAGGGATGTGCAAAAGAACCGGGACCCGTCCGGATCGCCCGGGACCACCCGGAACCGGACCGAAACCGGTGGTTCCCAAGGGAACCGATCCGATTCCTGGTTCCAATTTTTTGGAACCGATGGGTACCGGTCCGGTTCCTGGTTTCCGGTGTGGAACCGCCCACCCGGACCGGACCGGTAATATAATAATAATTTATTTATTTTTTTAATTTTTAATTAAAAAAATCTGACAAAAAAATTTAAAAAATAAAATAAAATAGGAGAGTTGTTGTTTTGTTTGCTTGCTAACTATTGTGAACTTGTGGCAAACTCCCACGTGTGATATATAATATAAGTTACGAATATATTTGTTTTGAAGCTTGTGAAGTTGTGAACTTTGTGACGAATCTTGTTGTGAACACAACCCACCAACAGGAAAGAATTAGACCGGTCGATTTTTTATTTGTCCAAGAAAACTTAGTGGGACTGGTTCCATATAGACCCACACGGGAACCGGACCGGACCGGCAGTCTGGTTCTCGGGTGGGTCCATAAAACCGACGGACGGTTCTCGGTTTCAATTTTTTGGAACCGATTCTTAGCGAGCGGTCCACGGTTCCGAGCTGAGAACCACCCATCCGGACCATGCTCACCCCTAGGTTTTATGACCTAACATGCAAGCTTAAGTTCCCATGCAATCAAGGTAACAAAGCAGTCAAATCAAACAACGATAGGAACATAAAGGATCCAAGCAAGGTAGTAAAAAGATAGAGTAATAAATCAAAAAGGCAGTAAAGTATATAGTTTTAATATTAAACACGAGCCGACTATCCGTGCAAAAAGTTTGGCGCCCGTGGTTTAAATAAACCTGCTGACCTATGGTCGTATTACCCTTTCTTTCCAAATCACCATAAGAAGCACTTTCACTTGATTATTTAAGCCCAACAAGACTACCAAAATCCAACGAGTCCAACTGTCCAATGACGACTCCCTCAGGACTTCGAAATTTTCCTCATGAATTATATTTAGCAGGCATTTTCAAGGTATAAGATCAAGCTACGCAAAACCAACCGTATTTCACATTTCCTTGGTGGCTATACCATGGCATGCACATGATCAAAAGGGGCAGATAAAGATCACTTCAACACACTGGTGATTGAACACAGAACACCCAGATGGGATGCAGCATCATGTACTTCAATTCAAAGTGACTCCGGAACGGTCGCATTGAAGCTCAAGCACGTAAAATAGAAATCCTTTTGAACAAGAACATCGCACACCAAGTGCAGCAAAGGAAAAGGAACTACTAATAAGCTATTACAAATCCTCGGGTACTCGATCAATCACATCATTCTGCATGTCACCAAACCATCATTTTTCAATAAATGACAATGCACAAAAAGGGGTTCACAACATGAGCTTCAAGAGGCCGCCTTATAACGGCAGAGCCTTCATTCGAATGCGTCATCATCATCGTCGGGAAGAGGCTGACTAGCAGCTTGAGCAAGTTCCGCCTCATGCCTGCAAGCAAATTCGCCGGCTATCAAACACAAATAATTAACAAACAGGAAGTTGGGAAGTAATGCCCCAAACAGACGAATAAAGTGAGATGTCTAATGAATAGGCCATGTTTTAAAGGCAATCCACCGAATAAACATTTCTGGCTGCATTCAAAGTTTCAATACGTGTGCCAATATGTTAAAATACAAATAACAGATATAGCATAAGAAAGTCAGCAAATGAAATTTTTAAGTTAAATCTACAATCTAATAAGCACTATGCCATGGCAAGCAGGCAAGATAATTTCCCAAATTATCTAATAAAATTCCAACGAATGGGGAATGGCGAAAAGAGAGAGATGAGTTTCGTACTGTTGCTGGGCAGCCAAGTCAATGTGTACTTCCGGAGGAGCAAGAGCAGGAGACTCCACAAAGTGAAGGTTAGGGTCCCTAAAGTTCCAAAAAGAACCAACATGTTACATCATCCACGACATAGACAAAAGATGATCCGAGGAGTACAACAGTAAATTGAATTACCCAGCAAGTTTTCTGGCGAGATAGAGGAAAGGCTTCTCAAAATTGTAGTTGCTTTTGGCAGATATCTCATAGTATTGGAGGTTCTTCTTCCGGTGGAATGTAACCTGCTTTGCCTTAACCTGCCTGTTCTTCACATCAACCTTGTTTCCACACAGAACAATGGGTATGTTCTCACAGACCCTAATATTAAAAGGCCATAAAACGTTAAAGCCACTCCTATACACAGGTAAAGCTACGAACAGGAGTTAAGGAGGTAAGAAAAGGCATCGAAGTAAAACCTGCAGAGATCGCGATGCCATGTAGGGACGTTCTTATAGGTCAACCTGGCAGTAACGTCAAACATGATGATGGCGCATTGACCATGAATGCTGCAGAAGAAAACAGCCAAACCCACCGTGAGCAATAATGCATGCCACTTGAAACTTATAGATCCAGAACAAACGTGACAAAAAAGAATATGAAACAACATATTAACGAAGGCATACACCAAAAAGTTTGGGACATGAAACCATCTGTACTCACAAAATCAGAAGAAAACAAATTCTAACAAAGAAATGTATAGTTTCCCCTTTACTTACTAGTATCCATCTCTTAGACCACCAAACTTTTCCTGCCCGGCAGTATCCCAGCAGTAAAATCGAATTTTGCCGCAGTTCGTGAAGAAATCCAATGGATGAACCTCAACCCCGATGGTCGCTGTTCAAGCCCAATCAAAATCCCAATCAATTCCCACACAACCAGGGGTGACACAATCAAGTGGGGGGGGCAAAAACATTGAGGGAAAGTCAAGACACGTACGCTCATATTTCTTCTCAAACTCCCCGGTGAGATGCCTCTTCACGAAAGTCGTTTTGCCTGCGAAATGGATAAATAGTTCAGCTCCGGCAGTAACAGCTCGGATAGTACTGAAGTTCAAACAACACACGCCAAAAAATCAAGAACATCAATGCCCAAAATTCTCGAGGAGGAATTCTAACCCATAAAAACCGATTTCCCCCTCCATTCCAGCAACCAAGATTTCAAAGGCATAATATAAATTTACGCCGTAAATACTCGCTCAAGGCTTACGTTAAGGCGGAAACACTTCCCCATAACCCCAGATGATAAACATCAACATTGAAAAAGTAGGAAATCACCACCAAGCGTCACCCGTTGCAGCCATCGAAACTCAAGCCAATCCCCACATGCAACCGATCCCATCCCCCACACACAGATCACATGGACAAGTGCTCAAGGGAACCAAGAAAGACAAAACACAAGCGGCGATCGAGCCATTCGAGACAAATCCATGGAAAACTCACCAGTGCCTCCGTCGCCGACGATGACGAGCTTGAAGCTCGGGTAATCGACGGTCTGCTGATTCGGCAAAGCCTACCAAAAATAACACAAAGAAAGAATCAGGAAAGAGAAAACCCAGCATCGGAGCTCCCAAATCGGAACGGCATCGACCATCCCCGTCTCCGATAGCTCGCGAACGGCGATTATCGGCGGCTATCGCCGGCCGGAACGGCGAAATCTCGAGGAACGCAAGGAACACAGGAACGGGCGCTCACCATGATCGGTCCAGTCGGCGGTGGCGAGATTTCGAAGGATGCGCAGCGAGCAGCGGAGCGAAGGCGAGGGCGAGGGCAAGAACGAGAGAGGGAAGGAGACGGTGAGGCCAGCTAGGGTTTATAAGGGGGAGGGAGGAGGAGCGTGTGTTTTGTTCAAAGTGGCTTTAGCTTGACGCAACAATCTGGGCCGTCCGATCCGGTTTCTTCCCCCGGCTGGGGGGATTCGGATCAGGCCGACCGTGCGATCTGCTTACTTTTTTTTTTTGCGGCTGGGGTAGGTTTCGAAACGCTGAACGGCGTGTGATTCGTGGGAGAAATTTTGACTTTGCTGCATATTCGCACGCTGATCCACTTGGCCGTATCAATCAAAGTCGGGTCCGGCCCGAATATTGTTCCCGGGCCCAAGCCAGCTCAGCGTGGAAGGAACAATGCCCTGCTGGAGGAAGGTATTTCATTCTATTCTTACGGGGATACGCCGCCGCGTGGCGGTGCTGACGTGGCGGGATCGACCGATCGCCGCCGTCGTCGCTCGGGCGCTATGAACTCGTCTTGCTCGGCACCATGTTAGACCATCTATTGCTGCCCACGCTGCGTAAATCTCGCATTCAATAACTTCTTAAGAAAGAGGAGAGTGAAAGCGGGTTTCTAAATCTTGTAATGGACTCTGCATTTGAGTCGTAAGACTTTCATTTCGTATCGGTCTTCACGAAGTGACATACAGTGTCCTAATAACTCCTAAGTCGCAGCTCATCATTTCATACTGAAATCATCACCATTGGAGCCTCCACGAATACTCACAGGGTTGAGAATCATTCAAGGAGACCTTAAAACCAGTACTCCTGCTGTTGGATAATGACTCAAATCCTTATCATCAAAGACGATGAATCCTATGCAAACACGAACATGATTGTCGGTACATAGTACGTATGACGCGCCGAAGCATATAATGTTCCGTTTTGCACGTGCCGTGATGTTACAGTATTTTGGAGCGACGACAGCAGCAGCCATAGGTTTCCTGAGCATGCAATGGACGGTCTTTTCTCTGCGAAATCAAACACTCTCATATTCGGAGTAATGATGCTAGAGATCATAAGTGGAAAGCAGAATGTGCAGCGTGATGTATTCTTGCCTTCGGCACCTTCCCAAAATAACAGCATTATGACATTACCTTTCTCCAGGCATGGTGTCTGTGGAAAGAAGGCTGGGCCTCGGACCTAGTCGACGAGCGACTATATCGAACATACTCGATCAATGAGGTAACACAACGCGTTCGATAGTGTGCTCTGTGTGCCAGAAAGAGCAGCAGATAGACCGGTGGTGTCGGCTTTGGTTCATTTTCGCTGCTGAACGACGAGAGAGTCGCGCGTTCTTTACCATCGCATGTACAAACAGAGAAGATTGGTCGGACGAGATGGGGACGCGCTCCATTAATCAAGTAACCATGTCCAGTTTATACAGCAAGCCATTAACCTTCAACCTTATAACATGTGAAAGGGCTGCGATGCGACCAACTTCTCTTGGCTGCTTTTAAGCTAATTGTAACACTTCCACGGCAAAGTCTCGGCAACCAAACCTTGATACTCTATGAACCTTGTGAAGTTTAAGGTTCTCGGGGAAGAAGTGTATAAGGTACAAATCTTCCCTACTGAAGTGTCAGAAAATCATAATTGAGTTGATGGCGAACCTAAATGAAGAAATGAAACAAAAGGCAGTTCACGGCAAAATTCTCTTCAAGAGATGTCGTCGAGGATCTACTGATCGGTAGATGTTGAGATCGTAACTGCCCGGGAACCAGTTTCCGGTATGCTTGTTATATGAGTAGAGTGTACGCTGCTCAGAAGCTTGTGGAGTCGCTCTTTGATTTGCGAGCATGGAGTGAGACTTGGTCATGTGAAAAAGCTCAGATTGCAGATGAACTCAAAGGAGGATTTTGGTTGATTCAGTTTTGAGACGACAATCTGTTGGCGGAATGATGCACGAATGCCGGATGATCAAACCAGAGCACTTCCCTCAAAGTAAATTTGCCCCGCAACATTGCTTCCAGGTTAAATCACCATTACCATACGACAGAAAAGAGCCAACAGATCATACAAGAGAAGCAAATTGCTTGTGATTTTAACTTGAACTTTCTTTAGAATCGCATTCTAATGAACAAGGAAAGGATGAAATTGGGAGTTGCGCAGCAAACACCCCAGAGCAAATGTCTCTTCGCTCAAAGAAGGTTGCTTTCATTTCTAGTTCTGCAGTTACTAGCTGCTGAAGTCTGCCTTCGGACTTTCAATAAACATTGGCGAAAGCACCCGATGAATTCTCATTGGCTTACTAGCCACTCGTCGGACATCCAACCTTGAAGGTCCGGCTCTCATTCGAGTTAGTTCGGCACGAGCTGCATATAGTGGAAACTCCCAGTGATAGCATATCCTCAATTTCATCAAGAAACATATCGGTCAGGGTTCATTAATTCAGGTCAGGAGTTCATTCATCAGCAACTTGATTGCAACTACTGGCAGACTTTGGAGCATTCTGCTGCTCCATACTCATTTACTCCAGAAGATTTTTTCTTCTTCTCATGAATAAAAGAAGAAAGGAACACATTCTGGGCAAGAAGAAAGAAAGTGCTTGAAGCTATTTTCTTGCAGTCGAAACATTTGAAAGGCAAGCGAGAAATGAGCTTGAAAGAAGTAAACAACAAGCTAGATGACAGAAGCCAGAGAACGACTGGTTCAACAATTTGACGGTGCATGTGAATTGCATACGATTCAAGATCTGGCCTGGACCACTCCCCTCTTTCAACTTTCCCACTCGCTTCCAAAACATCCCTCAACCTCACCTCCCTCCTTCGATGTATCTGCCTTGTTTTGAATCAAAATTCTAATGTTCCTGAAGAGTCTATCAGACAGAGCCAGAGAGCATTTCAGATTTGACCGCGTGCTCATACTCGGGCTATTCCGCGTCGACGAAGCGTCAACATTAGCGGCACTCGGGATATTCCGCATCGACGAAGCGTCAACATTAGCGGCATAGCACGCGCCAAGTCCGCCTATTCGGTCCGGTCAGAAAACAATCGCTCGGAAAAACAGAAACCACTTCCTCGAGACCTGACCTCGACAGATCATGTCGCGCAGCAAATTGCATCTAAGAGATCCCACGCGTCACGACCAATAGTCGCATTTACGTGCTCTTGGGTCCTTTCCTCCTATTTCTCAGTCCTAGAACTCGGTGGTTCTCGACGGAACACAGACATGGTTTCTCGTGTCATGGCACACAGATCTTGGCAATACATGCACCTCAAAAACAACTCGACAATGTGGTACGCAAAACCAGCAATTTGGGCACACGAGTGAACAGAACGCAAGCATATTCTTTCCCAGGATTCTTCCTGCCTCTTTGAAAAAATCCCAGAATCCGACTCAATGATCCCACCCATGCCTGATGCCCCAGATGAGCAACAGGCAAACATGCTGCCAGTCTAGCAACTTCGCATGCACGTTACACAAGATCCCATCCGTACGTTATCCATCACGGGACCCCACATCCCCCCAACAACATCCGATCACGACCGTCCAAATTATATGCAAGCAATTTGAACTTTGCCGGAAGGAAACACACTACCAACCAGTCCGTATCATCAAAAATTGACTTTTGATCCTTCTGGTCGAGGACAAGGAGGAAAAACCCATCGATCGATGATGGGTTTCGATTAGGAGCGCCACCGCTTCATTAAAGAACGTTAATTATGCAGATCTACCAGATCAAGATCAGTGCTTTACAAACTAAAAATGCTTAACAAGATCCATCGATCAATACCCAGCAAGATTATCAGCTAATATGCAATTAGCAGAGATCATTCCGAAAGCAACGTTATTTACGCACCGACGATAATTACATACATGCTTCTTCTTCTTCTTCAAGTTCAACATCAGGACCCCCTTCTTCTAATCACACCACTAAATCATACACCAGATGCGCCGCCTATATTATCGGACGCAGCATATATCGGAGAGAAATCAAAAGCTAAGAAAAGAGCAAAGAGGAGCAAGAAACGGGAAGAGGGTAAAGATCCGGCAACCGCGAGAAGCGGGGGAGCTTCTAAAGCTCCGGCGACTCGGACCCGGATCCGGACCAGATCCTCATAGATCGGGTCGGCCCCCGAAGTCGGAGGCCAGCCGGGAGGCGATGGCGGAGTGGTACATGGCGTCGTGGAACGACCCGGCGCCCTGGGTCATCATCCGCAGCTGCTTCGCCTTCTCGGCCGTGAAGCCGCCCGGGGCGAACCGGGACGGCCGCGCCGTGCTCGGGTCGAGCTCCGGGTCGACCTTCTCCTCCCGGCGGTCGGCCTTGCCGCTGCCGGAGTCGATGTAGTCGGGCTCGGAGGGCCACCCGAAGAGCGGGGTCCACCAGCCGGCGGAGGAGGAGGTGGTGGAGGAGGAGGAAGGGGCGGCGGGGACGGCGGAGAAGCTCCGGCGGTTCGGGTCGGGTCTCTTGTGGCCGGCGCCGGCGGCGGAGGAGGCGGAGGCCCGGATGCCGGAGGGCGCGAAGGTGAGGAGGTTGGTGGCCATTTCTGGGTTCTTTCGAGGGCTGCGTGAGTTAGAGAGAGAGAGAGAGACGGGATTCTTGTCAAGGTTTTAGAGAGAGAGACAGAGAGAGAGTGGGAGGGAGGAAACAGGAGGAAGACGAAGGTGGTGGTTTTGCCAGAGGAGCGAAAGAGAGAGGTATTTCAGGGAGGGAGACGGATAAGGACACGGACACGTGTCGGTCAGGAGGGGGACGGGTGGTGGGGGCGGGAGGGTTGCTTTTTCCCGTGCGCTTTTTTACCGGGGAGTCCGGTTGGCATCCGGTCACCCTTCGGTCCATGCGATTGTTCTCCTCTCTCCTCTCTTTTTTTTTTTTAAATATATTTTAATCCCTTTTTTAGGATATTTGGATCATGTCCTTCGATGGAAACTAGGATTGATACTTGGGATAGAGTCGCTAGTTCTAGTTCTGGTTCCACTTTGGAGCGTGTGACTACTTTTGTCTTCATCAAAGCTTTTTTTTATATATATATATATTTTAGGAAAATGCTGATGCGTCCGAGAAATTACTAGCAATGCATACGCGAAACAATTATTAGTGCGAGAGGAAACTACGGCCTGCCCCGGTAAATTACGACCTGTCCGGATTGATTTTTACCGAGGCGTTTGGAGCTATTTAAATGCAAAATACGAATACGTAGATTCGCACGTACTTTCTTTGTTCGTAACTTTAGGAAATTTGAACGGTATTTTAAATTTTGGAGGGATAGCCTAAAGAAAACTTTTTTAAATGTAAAAACTCGTGTGAGAAGAAAGATGGGGCACGGTATATGATACATCAAGTGTTTAAATGATTAATTAATATTCTGGTAAATGGAAGTATGAGGTAGCATCGACCATAAAGTTTCTATCAAAGTCCATACTGATCAATCATCATTACCATTTAATTTGTATTTTTTTTAATGAGGAATGTTAATGGGCAAAAGAGAAGTCATTTTCGATGAATTGTTTCCCTACGACTTGATCATTAAGTTTGGACTAACTTTTTGGTGATCTATGCAATCTGACGTGGACTTGAATAATCAGCGCCAACAATTACCTTATCTCGAACTCATTGACACGCAATATGAAGATCTTATTATGATAATATATAATATAATGCATGCATTATATATATATGGATGTATGTATGACCATAAGCAACGAGGGCACCACTTTTCTTGTGTCTGTAAATCTTTGGCAAAACAAAATAGGACTGCACTTTTTCCACTCCTCTTTTAGCTTAGACACTCGTTTTTTTTTTTTTGTATTTTGACAACAGTATCCTTCGTGGCATTTATCGCTTCTGATACAGCTCTCCAAAAGTGATCCTTTTTTTATATTATTCGATCAACTTTTTTTCTTCTCTTATTTCTTGCGGGTTTCACTTTCCTTCTTTTTTCTTTATTTTCACGCCTTTGACATCTCTGTTCTCCGCTCTGTTCTTCTTCGTCGTCTTCTTCTTCTATACATCTCATCGTTCTCTATTTTCTATCTATGATGCCAACCCCGTTATCCTCCACACTTCAATTATAAAAGGAGCATTAGTTTTCTCTACTAAAAAGGGCAGCGCTATTTCCACCCCCTATACGACTAATCCACTCCATTTTCCATTGAAAAGACAAAATTATCCTCAATGATTCAATTACAATTTAAAGTGTGGCCCCAAAATGAATTGCTTAATTATGGTAACTAGATCCTAAATAGTAACTGAAAAAAAAAAAAATAAGGAAAGTAAATTGATTTGGGGCTTTTCAATGAAAAATGGAGTGAATTAGTCGTATAAGGGGTGAAAATAGCGCCGCCCAACAAAATAATACTAGTTTAATAATTGATTTGGCGATAGACTATAGTATTGTTGTATTGGATAAGGAGTTCATCGACGCATCAATTTGACTTTGGAGTCCATTAAGTTTTGATCGGACGATTCGACCTCATTCAATGCATCACGTAGAAATTAAGGGGTTTGCGGGTGAACTTGTGGAACCTACGGACCTTGATGAATCGTACTAGTAGGGTAGGTTCCGGATGAGTATAAGATATTGCAGGGTTGGTTTCGGATTCCGAAATTTCGGACCCGATGAGTACACGGTAGGTTCCGGGATTTCGGGTCATACCTACCTGTACTCGCTCTATACCATATGCCTTAGGGAAAATTATCAAGAAAGTCTTAAACTTGTTGCAATTGTGCGAATTCAGTTCGAAACCTGTTTTTTTGCCAATTCAATCCTAAACCTTTTGCATTTATGCCAAATCAGTCTATTCGATTGGCACTGACATGGATAATTTTTTATAATATTTTATTTTTTTCGAATTTTTTTGTCAATTATTTTTTTCTTTTCTTTTCTTTTTTTTTCCCCTTGCCCGCGGCCCTTAGCCTCACCGGAGCCTCGCTGGCAATTTGGTCAGGCTGCGTTGCCCATGGCCCCCGGGCCTCGCCCAGATCCAGGCAAGGGCTTTATGGCCCTCGCCGGCCACTGAGGGGAAAAAAAAAAGAAGGAAGAAAAGATTAAAAGAAAAAAATTAATTTAAGATTCAAAAAAATAAATATATCATTAAAAATTATCCACGTCAGCAATTTCCACTCAAAATTGACCGGATGGACTAAGTCGGTACAAATACAAAAGGTTCACGACTGAATTTGGCATAGTTGTAATAGATTTAGAACATTTTTTGATAACTTTTCCGAATATAATTTACAAGTGCAATAGGATACTCGAAATCCCAACGTTCAAAACGAGCTGCATTGATCGTAGAGTTACGTGTTCGAACCGGCTGCGGACGGACTGGCATGGTGGACGTATCTGCAGAGCATTCCAAGTTCCACAAGCAACAAGCTTGCGCTAAGATATCTTCTACGTCGGAGGGGCGGCGTCGTTGTTATCAAAGGGTTTTTCATCCTGAACTTTCTCGTGCCCGAATGAAGACACGCACGTCGACGAAAATGGTCTATTTGGTTTTGTAACTTTGCAAAAGGACGGAGACTTCACAGTGGGACGAAAATTAGAAAGAAAATAAGAACGACACGGCGAGATTATACCGTTTGTTGACCACGTAAACCGAGTTCATCTCAACCGTCGACCATGTGGGGCCCCGCACCGGGACCCGCATAATGGATGTTCGAGATGATATTAGCTCACGTGGTCCGTAGATCGTGTTAGAACTTCTCCACAAAAGTTTACTTCTTTTTTTTTTTCTGATTTTTTGTAATTCATCAAGCTAGCAATTTGGGAACTCGATATGGTCATTTAGAACGTGGAGTCCAATCGTGAGCGAGGCCATAGAATTCATTCAATTTCGAGCCAGCCCATCAAACGAAGCCCAATCCTTCTCTCAAGCAAAATTTCTGGAGGCCCCTTTAATTTCTGGGAAAGAAAAAATTAAAAATGGAGAAAAATAAATTAACTAAAATATTAATATCAGAAAATATGAATAACAATATTGTGCGTTAATATTTGTTAGAAATTGATGGAATTGTTAATTGAACTAATAAGATATTTTAAGGAAAAGAAACACAATTAAGGAGGAAGCCAAAAGGCGTAAACAACCAAAAAAACTCATATAACAAAAGTTGGATACTCCTAATGTATGTTTACATGGTTAATTAATGTAAAAGATTGATCGGTCGATGACAAATGCTTATAAAGCTCGCCTTAGATTTCGGTTAATCATTTCCTTTTACGGATTGGGGACATCATTTCCTTTTATAATTTATTTCAAATATTTTCATTAATCAAACATTCTTCACATTAATTAACCCGCAAAATATACATAATGCATAACCAGTTTTTGTCATTTGACCCTTTTGTCATTGTGGCCTTTTTCCCTTTTCGTTTGATCTGTATTAATTTTTTTTCTTCAAAATTTTTTTGTTCTAATTATACTGGCTATATTTATCGAATTTTAACAAATTGTTGTTAAAAATTGTTATTGACATCTTTTTTTTTTGTGTGTTGTTATCAGTTTAGTTGGTGTACTTTTCTCTCGGAGAGATTTCTTCAAAAAAGAAAATGAAAATATACTTTTACCCCTCGAAAGTGATATGCATTGTACATACCAAGGAAAAAATTTACAGGGTGTTAAAGATGGCACGACCGAATTTTTTAGAGAGCATTGTGTAACAAATCGAAAGTTCGAGCGCAAACGTATACTACTTCCAAAGTTCACGAGAGACTCGGGTAACATCTCCGTTATTTATGCATTCATTCATTTGCTCGCTCACTTATTTACTATCTTGTGATTTTAAGAGATTATGGTGGTGGTGGTGGTTGTTGGTCTTTCTTCTTCTTCTTCTTCTTTTCAAATTCCCCAGGAGAGGCTATTTGAAGACTCATCCTCGTCTGCGTGACTCTTCCATTCTTGGCTGTTGTTATCGAAAATGCCATGCTCTGAGTGTTGCGAAAACCAAGCGATCGAACGATAAATTTGACAGAATAAGAAAATAAATCGGACACCAGATTTACGTGATTCGGTCGTAGTGACCTACTTCCACGGAAAAAGCAACAAGGAATTTAACTATAGATCAAGCGATACAACGGAAATTACAACCACACTCGAGTCACTCAAACACTCTCAGTGTTTCCCAAGCCCCAATTACACCCAATAAATCAAATAGTGTTTAGCCTCACAATTCCTTACGAAATAATCTTACAATCTCACGAAGGAATTGTACATAAATCTTAACACAAGATTTAATCGCCACGAACACTTGAACTCTTCGTGTAATTCCACGAACAAAACCACGAAGATTGCCCACCGCCAAGCACTCGCGCACAAGCTGCACTTCGAGAATAACTTCACGTATTCATCAACAAAGGCGGGCCTTCTTTGCTCCAAAACAACAGCCAATATATATGTTTATCTAAAAAACAAGATCAGGATAATCCTTCCTTAGGCAAACCTCAACACGGAAAAGGAAAGTTTGAAAGCCTGTGGTCAACTTTCTTTTTTTTTTTATTACCAAACTTGACCGACTTCAGTAATAAAGGAAATTGAGTGCGCCCACTTCCCTTTTCGTTTCTCCGTCGCAATTTCCGCCGGTTCTTGCACGGAAATATAATACCAATGCAAAATAGGAAAGCCTATTTTTCTTTCTCCAACGC